AGAGAGAGAGAGCGAGAGAGAGAGAGAGAGCGAGAGAGAGAGAGCGAGAGAGAGAGCGAGAGAGGGAAAGAGAAAAAGAGAAAAAGGTCTCATCCCGCGCGCGTCCATGCAGCTGCCGCGTTCCGGAAACACCCCCGGCCGGTTCCGGGCGTGAGGCCCCAGCAGAGACCTGGCCTATCCGTTGGCAGTCGCCACTCTGGTGCCCGATCGCACGTCCGATCTCGCAGCAGCGGAACCCCCGGGACCGAGCACAAACGCAATGGGGGCGTTCTGATCCTGCCCCCCCCCCCCCCCCCCCTCTCCTGGCGGGCCCAGGGCCGGTCGCCTGCCAGGCTCGTGGCACGGCGGCCGATCTGTCCCAAGATCGACGCATACAGAGGGCGGAGGGCAAAAAAAAAAACAAAAAAACAAATCCCCCCGCCCCCGTCGCCTGGCTGTTGGCCTGCATCAACCCCCTTCACCCGCTCGCCGCCACCTCCCCCGCACCTCTCCCCCCGCCCCTTCCCGCCCTGACATCATGGCCACCACCAGCCCCTTCCCGGCGACCGAGCCGGAACTTGTCAAACTCCCGCTCCTCGCCATCGAAAAGCGCTTCATCAATGACTGCATCCGAGGTTCGGCCCCTGCTCGCGTGTCACGCTCCCTCGTCTTCGCGCTCCCCCTTGCCCCCCGCCGCACGATGCCACACTTGTTAACCTGCCTCCTCCTCGCCACCCACCGCCAGCCATCTGCCACAGCATCTTCCTTGCCCGGCACTTGGACCAGGTTCGCCCGAAGGACTTCCACGCAACGGACCCCGATGCCGCAGGACTCGACGTTGTGTGGGTGCGACCGCCCCCCCTCCCCCTACCCCCGCCCCCTCTTCTGCTGCCTTCGGTCTTCTTACCCTGCCCCATGCTCCCCTCCGGCACCAGGCCGGTCCCGACATCTTCGGCTCGTCCGAGGGCCCCGCTGCCGACTCCTCGAGCAAGTCCATCCAGCACTTCTTCAACACCCTCAGCGAATCCTTCATCAAGGAAATCCCCCAACGCTTGTCTCAGGTCCAGGTGACCTCACAGCCGCAGCCCACCTCCTCGGACGACATCTATATCGACATTTACGATGTGACCAGCGTCCCGGCCGATGCTCTGGGACAATCGCCCGATCGCGCTGCCGGGCCACCCCCCGGACGCCACCTCGAGCGGTGGGTTCTCCCCATTCAACTTTTGACCGACTCCAGCCGCGGCCCGGTGGAGCTCTTCAACATCGAAGCCCCGCGCCCCGGTGGAGGTGCTCTTCCCCCGCCCGACAACTCGCCCGGGGCGGTGGATGGTGCGCCCTCTCGACGGCTCCCTCCTCGTCCCCCTTGCTCCTGTTCCCCCCCCCCCCCCCACACACACACACCTTGGCTTGCATCTTTGCGGCCCCCTGACACCCGATGGCCCCCTCCCCCTGTACCACCACCGATCCCCCCCCCCCCTTCGTAGCTCGCTTGAAGCTTGAGAACATCCTCGCTCGGATCGGCGCACACACCTTGGCCACGTCCAACTGGTGGGCTGACACCGGATCCGTGCGCGTGGCCTTGGTGGTATGAAGTCTCTCACCCTCCTGCCCCCTCAAGCACACGCACATACACACGCACATACACACGCACACACACACACACACACACACCTTTTCTCCCTCTCTCTCTCCCAACCCGGCTCTCAGCTCGTTTCGCCCCGACACCTGACCCCTCGCCCCCCTCCCCCGCCTGTCATCCTTCTGGCCTTGGTCAAATAGGTGGCCTTTAAGCCCAAAGATCGCCTCAATTTGTTCCGCTTCCCCCTTCCACTCCCCTTCATGCGGTGAAGAGAAAAAGAAGAGAACAGGTCAGAGAAGCACATTTATTCTTGCCCCTCTGGGACATCGGCCACAATAAAGTACACACACATGTCTCGCCAACGGAGCGACAACCACCCTCGCGGGTTGTTGAAAAGCCCATCTCCTGGGAGACGCCCATCGAGAGAGAGAGAGAGAGAGAGAGAGGCAGCAACCTACTTGGGGGGCAGGCTGCGTGAGCGATTGTATTGGTCGCTGCCTTGGTTTGCCAGCTGGTCGGCCATTTCGTTGCCCGGGATGCCGGAATGGGATTTGACATGCCGGAAAACCACCGCATCCCGCTCGACCGCATTGCGCTGATCGCACAGCTTCGAGATGTCCATGATGAGATCCTGATGAGAGACCGGCTGGCCGCCGGAAGTCTTAAAGCCATTGGTCTTCCATTTTGGCAGCCACTCATTGACGCCTGGACGAAGGGTCAATGCACGCGTCGAACGGGCGAAAGAGCCACGCACAAATGGCCCCCCATGGGCCACGTACTCTTGATGGCGTAGATGCTGTCGGAGTGGATGACAATATTCCGGTCCCCGGGAGCTGTCTCAAGAGCCCGCTTGATGGCCTGCAGTGGGATGGATGGTTGGCAAATCGAACAGCACCAAGGGGAGAGGCCGAAGGGGATGAAGGGAGGGCAACAGGGAAGGGGGAAAAGCGAAAGGAGGTACCTTCAATTCGGCGCGCGAGTTGGTGGCCGGCTCGGTCGGGGACAGGGGCTCCGCAAGGTTGCTGCTCCCATGTGCACGCACATGTTAGTGGGGGGGGGGGGAGCAGGCAAAGAGAAGGGATCAGAGGCCAGGGCCGCGAGAGGAAGGCCCTGCAGTCCCGGCGCAAAGGCCATCGATGGGCATACCGAGGATCGTGCGGGCCAAAGTAAACCCCCAGACCAGACCCATTCGGTCGCGAACTGCCATCCGTATAGATGTCGATGGATTGCCGAGTCGATGCCGGGGCAGGGGGCGATCGGGCGGATGACCCGCTGGAGGAGCTCGACGATCTCGAAGTGGAGAGGGGGGAGGAATAGAAAGAGGAGGAGGAGGAGGAAGAGGAAGAAGAAGAAGAAGAAGAGGACCCACGCGTGGAGGAGGAGAAGCTCCTCCCGGAGGCACGATAGCCAGACGAATAGCTTGTCGGGTCGCGCGTGCTGTGCGAGGCCGCCGGCCTCGAGGAGGAATTACTGCCGGAACTTATGTAGCGCTGGGCCTCCTCGCGAGTGCGGAAGGACTTGAACTCGGCCCCGGAAAAGCCGCTCACCGAGGAGCTACACTCATCCCTGTGCCGATCGCCACGGAAAGTGCGCGGTTAGTTCGATTCCAATGACCCAGCCCGACGGGGGGGGGGGGGGGGGGGGGGGGGGTAGCAGGAAGCCATTGACGGACCAGGAAGAGTGGATGCCGGTCGAGCGGCCTGAGCGCACGGCGTAAAATTTGGCCTTCCCAGCCGAGGAACGGGGAGGCATGGCTGCTAAATCGGCGACCTGAGAGGTGACAGCAGGACCCGCGGCAGGGGGACAAGGGCGCGGAGCAGTGGAGGCGGGCTCTTTGGGGGCGAGGGAGAAGCTGAGCGACCGGTTCCAGGGCCGAACAATCAGGCGACCAATGAGTGAGTTCAGGGGGAGTGGAAGAAGAAAGCGACTCTGCGCCATGTGAGACGGCGGAGGGCAGGCAGGAGGGGGGCGGGCGGGGGAGGGAAAAGGGGGCGAGGGATCTCGCGCGGCTGAAACAGAAGATGAATGCCGCTCGCGGAGTGGGGGATGGCGGTGAAACGGGGCGAACGTCCGGAGAAGAAATGTTGCCTACAGATTAGGATCGGCCTGGCCCGTTCCCGCCCCCGCCCTCGCCCCCCGGTCCCGCCCGGCTCGGCTCTCGTTGCCACGATCCTCCCCCCCCCCCCTCCCCCCCCCCCGCGGCCCTGGGGGCCGATCTGTCCGGACACTGTGATATCCCCACGGAGGTGTCACGTGCACACCGTGGAAACACCATTTCACCCCAGGCCCGAGGAATAAGGCGCTGCTCGGTGCCGGCGCAGAGCGGCCCCGGGGGCGCGGAGCCCCAGAGAGTAAAGGTGTGCTGTCCACCTCGCCCTCTTTCCTCCCTCCCCCCCTCCCCCGCTCCCCCTCGCCCACCTTTTTTTCCCTGAGATGTTCCCCTTCCACGCTTCGCCTCTCGCCACCGGCCGCCGTGGCTACGCCACCGCCGCCGGTGCCGCCGCCGGCGCCAAGGACTTCGCCCAGGAGGAGCTCTTCGCCCGGACCCTGCTCGGCAACACCCACATGTCCCACTACCAGGTTCTCGGCCTGCCGGAGCCGGTGTTCGACCTGAGCCTCAGCTCGGCCGAGGCCGTGGCCTCCGCCAACAAGGCCTCCAGCCGTGAGATCCGCCACGCCTACTACAAGCTGTCCATGCGCTTCCACCCGGATCGCCTGCCGGCCGCGGCCTCCGCCGCCTGGGGCAAGCCCGCGTACACCCGCATCACCGACTCCTACGCCACCCTGGCCAACCCGGACACCCGCGCCGCCTACGACCAGTCCATCTTCCGCGAGGCCTCCACCCGCGCCGCGGCCCTGACCTCCTCCCGTGGCCGTCAGTACCAGTTCCACACCTCCTCCGGTGTTAACCCCTCCTTCGCGGCCAACACCAACGCCTCGGCCTTCTCGGACTTCACCCGCCAGAGCTACCGCCCCTTCGACAACTACAACGCCTTCCACCAGGCCTACAAGCACCACCATGGTGCCGCCTTCGGTCGCTACTCCGCCGACAGCACCTCCCACCAGGGTGACAACCGCTTCGACATCGGCAACGGCACTGCCGCCCGCATGGCCGACCGCGCCGCCGAGTATGCCCGCCACGCTGCCCGCACCACCGGCAGCGCCGCCCGCTTCATGGACCCGGAGCTGGCCGCCAAGATCGCCAAGAAGCAGGCCCTCCCTCGCCGCTTCCTCCTCCCCTCCCTGACCGTCATGGCTACTCTTGGCGTTGTCGGCCTTGCGGCCATCTACGCCCTCAACGACCGGCCCAGCTCCCTGGAGCTGGACAACCGCCGTTTCCAGAAGACCCGTCGTGCCTTCGACTAAGTACCTCTAGCGCACGCATGTACCCTGTACACGCATGCATATGTACCACGAGGGGGGCGGGGGAGCAGGAGCGCGCGGCCGACAGCGGCCATCGACCGGCCACGGGACGACGGGCGGGGCCCACTCCTCCGTCATGGCAGTAGACAATCCGACAAGCCAGTGTGACGGCCAGGATGCGCTGTCCCTGTTGTCCGGGACGGAACATGGCTTCGCCAATCGGCGGCCCTGTGTTTGCCGAGCCCGCGCTCCTCGCTGTCCCCTGCCCCCCTCCCCCCTCTCTCCCGCTCGCTCTGTCTGTCCCCTTCCTCCTCGCCTCCCCCCATGTATTCGCCATTTTGGAGGGAGTCCAAAAGGTGTCTTCTCATGGCCTCACTCACATATATATATATCTACACACACACACACATCCCTATATATGTATCCGTCCAGCTGGGCTCGGCCAATGGTAAAGGGTTAGCAAGGCCGGCGCTCGTCCGCCTTTTTTCCCATCCACCTCGGTGGGCCTCATGCATGTCTCGGCGCTTTTCACCCCCCTCCCCCCTCCTAAATACACACATATCATACAAGGCCCGTGGCGGCAATGCGGGCCAAGCTGCGGCAGGGGGAGGCAGACACAGTAAACGATTGTGTGTGTAGAGGCTCTTGGTGCGAGCCCCGCAGTACGAGACGAGGGCTCCCATGTCCTTGGATGTCAGCCTGCACCTGCGCGATCCTCCTGCAGGCCAAAAGGAGGCCCAGGGAGAGCCCAGGCAAGGAGCAGCCGCTCGGTGAAGAACTGGCCCCTCAGCCCCATCTCACCCCTTGCCCTCCCATCCCCAGCGATATAGACACAAGGAAACACCCCCATCTTGTGGGGAGGGGGGGGGGGGGCGGGAAGCGCTATCCAGGGGACCCCTCCATTCGGCGTGTACGTGCGTGCGCGGGTGCTACGCGAGCGGCGGAGGGGGGATCGGACTGGACCAACAAAGGGTGCCCCCTCAAACAGGAATGGCCAAAAAAAAACAC